GTTGTTAGGCATCCCTGGGTTCAATCCCCAGTACAAAAAATAAACAAATAAAAATAAAAAAAAAGAATCATTTCATTACTGTAAGAAAATGCATGAACTAATTTTCATGTCTACAAAGAAATGTCCTCACTAGTATTTTTAGGAAACACAGGACCATCTTGGCCTCTTGTACATTTTCTCATCTCTGATGGAGACCATGTTATAAAAATCATCCAGCATCCTCTCAATCCTACTACGCACACACACACTCACACTCTACAAAACTGGTAATTGGCAGCAGTATCAACAGATATGTAGGAAAGTGTAGCAAAAGCTGGAATAAGGAAAACCCAGGCAGGAGACACTTAGCGTAGGCAGTGTGACAAGACTGGATGCAGAGGTGTGAGCTAAGGAGGGGATGGGAAGGAAGCCAAGGTGAGTGCACAGCAGGCAGGGCGAACACCCACCTGTTCAGTGTGGGTTCCTCACTAGCCTACACTCCCCAGACTGAGCATGCAGGGCTGCAGACAGGAAGGGATGGAGGCCTGCTGGTCCTCCCAGCATCAGTACTGGGCTTGGGGCGGCTTAGGAGTTTGTTAAATTGGGGAAAACAAAATAATCCTTACTCTTGAACACCTGTATGGCCCACATGTTAATGAACTATATAGAGGTCTCGACAATCTCCCAATAGCTTAATTCTGAAAACAAACAACAACCCCAAAACCCCACTGTAATTTACTTAATTTTGAATTTCCAAAGTGCCTAATGTAGATTTTTATACATAGTCAACTTCGGTTTTGTTGGATTAAAAAAAATTAACAAAGCAATTTCTAAGCATTACACTCAAGAACTGGTTTTATGCAATCCTAAGCCCAAACATAATTGATTAGCAGTTGTTTTCCTTTTATTGAAAAGTATAAGTTATTCATTCCTGGTCTGGATTTACTCTAAGGACTCCCCACCTCAGAGAAAAAGCCAAATGCAAATTAAAACTACACTGAGGGGCCAGGGTTGTGACTCAGTGGTAGAGTGCTTGCCTAGCATGTGTGAGACACTGGGTTTGATCCCTGGCACCACATAAAAATAAACAAATAAAATAAAGATATTATGTCCATCTATAACTAAAAAAAAAAAATCTTATTAAAAAAAAACTACACTGAGATTCCATCTCACTCCAGTCAGAATGGCAATTATCAAGAATACAAGTAACAATAAATGTTGGTGAGGATGTAGAGAAAAGGAACACTTATATATTGCTGGTGGGGCTGCAAATTGGTGCAACTACTCTGGAAAGCAGTATGAAGATTCCTAGGAAAACTTGGAATGGAACCACCATTTGACCCAGTTATCTCCCTCTTTGGTACATGCCCAATAGACTTGAAATCAACATATTATAGTGATGCAGGCACATCAATATTTACAGCAGCTCAATTCACATTAGCTGAACTAGGGAACCAGGCTAGGTGCCCTTCAACAGATGAATGGATAAAGAAAATGTATGTATACATAATGGAATATTACTCAGCCATAAATAGAAATGAAATTATGGCATTTGTCAGCAACTAGATGGTACCAGAGACTGTCATGCTAAGTGAAATAAGCCAATCCCAAAAAAACAAAGGTCGAATGTTCTCTCTGATATGTGGATGCTTACTCACAATAAGTGGGAGGTGGGTAGAGAAAAATACTTTGGATTAGACAAAGGGGAATGAAGGGAAGGGATGGCATTGGGAATAGGAAAGTTAGTAGAATAAATCAGATCTACTTTCCTATGTTCATATATGTTTACATATGAATACATTACCGATGTAATTTCATATCATGTACAACCAGAAGAATGGGAAGTTGTATTCCATATATGTAAAATGTCAAAATACATTCTAATTTCATGCATTAAGAAAAAGAATGAAAAAAAAAAAAAAAGAATAGCACCTTCTCTGAGCAGCCCTCCTTGATCCCCCACCATCTACACAACTCACAGCCCTGCTTGCTGTTTCTTTCACTGACCAACTGTCCCCAAGCCCCGTCACTTTGTACTCTAATGTGCAACTCATGGGTTTATCATCTCTCCAGCTGGAATGGAAGCTCCACAGGTCTGTTCCGTTTGCTGCTTTATCCTCTCTACCAGACACTGTTCTTACAGAAGAGGTGCTCCATGGACACTTGCAGAACAAATACATTTTTCTTTAAACAATGCAACCATCTAGCAGAATCTGCTTTTTGTTTTAAAAAGTCCCTTTCTGGGGCTAGGGTTGTAGCTCAGTGGTAGAGTGCTTGCCTCACATGCGTGAGGCGCAGGGTTCAATCCTCAGCACCTCAGGAAAAATAAATGAATAAAATAAAGATAGTTGTGTCCATCTACAACTAAAAATATTTTTTTAAAAAAGTTTCTTTCCTTATTTAACATTTTAAATGGGATGAAAGTACATGTTTCACATACATGCTCAATATGGCTGGGTGGTCACTCAGTAACAATAAAATCCCACTGTGGTCAGCCAACTGCACTAGACCCTCTCCCCTAACAGGACACGTCCTCTGAGGTACTCAATTCATAGAAATTCTTCCATTTACATCTAGCCATTAAGCATGAAAAGGGATGTTATAATTAAACAACCTGAAGCAGAATTCTTGTTTGAGTTACATTTCAACATAAACAGAAGACAATGATAGGAATTTTAATGACCACAGTTTATAACTTATATGCCAATAGAAGAAGTTTAAAATTCCTTAAAATTTATTAATCATTATAATTTTAAATGATGACTAAATACTAGACCTCGTGTATACACACTACAGAAACACATATTTTAGATCAGGATTATGTGGGTTGTTTTGTAAAAAAATTCCATTGCTATTTCTATACACACGACTTCACAAAATACCATAATGTTATTAGTCACTGACCAGTTTTTCTCTTTTCCTTATTTTATGGCAACATCTGGTCTTTATCCTTGCAACAATGGTTCAATTTGACCTTTTTCATATGGTAAACAGCTAAGTGCCAGAAGCCTGATCTTAAGCATGTGAGGTCAGAGGTACAAAAATAAAAAGGAAATCAGGTTATAAAGAATTCCCTCATCCCTTTAACTAAGACCACTAACATTTACTGAGTGCCCACTATGTGCTCATGACTGTACTCAATAGAACATATAAAGGAAACAGTTAAGATCACAAATGTCAGGCTAGGGTTGTGGCTCAGTGCTAGAGTGCTTGCCTAGCATGTGCAAGGGCCTGGGTTCGATCCTCAGCACCACATAAAAATAAATAAATAAAATAAAGGTATTGTGTCCAACTACAACAGAAAGAGAGAAAGAAAGACAGAAAGACAGACAGAAAGAAAGAAAGATCACAAATGTCCATCTCACCTCTCCTAAGAAGGGACATCGACTCGATGTGTACAGTCCAATCACAGCTACAGAAACCCTGGTAATTTTCAACAACAGAAAGAAGGTCTGTGAGCCCGGAAAATTATCTCACGAGAAACTTCAACAGCATCGCAGGATACCACCTCTTCTTTTAAATAGTCAACTATGCCAATAACCAACTAAAGGATGAATCTGCTTTGTTAAAGGAGCAGTTGATGCTTTCATTATGTAACAATGTTTTACTTAACAATTATAAATATTTCCAAAATTACAAGCCAAAAAGTCTCAACAGAATGACCTTCCAAAAATTGACAAATTTCTCAACATTGCCAATTCATGATTTTGTTTCTGGTGGTGCTGGCGATAGGATGTGGGACCGCTAGGCAAGTGCTCTGCACTGAGCCACATTCCAGTCCTCAGTCCATATTTTTTAAATGAACTAGTTGCCATGTCCACAGAGTCATAAAATCGCTGCACTCCCCCAAGGAATAGTCTTGGAGATCACTTCGTTCCATAGCTTTATTTTACAGAACCAACATAAATTCAAAGAATTCAGCTCATGTGTTGTTCACTCTTCTGTTTGTCAACAATGCTCTTCAGATCCCCAGCACTGAAGAGTTTATGAGGATTTAATGACACCACAGAGAAGCTATGGCCACATGCCAGTTTTACAGAATCCTGGAGGAAAAAGACCTCTTTCTCATGCTGGTCCTCCTTCTACTCTCTGGAGTTAGGAACACAGACAAAAGCAATCTGACCTCTTTTCTATGACACAGTTTCCAAATACATAAGGATGATTATCATACCCCTGCAAAGCCTAACCCTTCTCAGCTTACTCTACCAGTTCTCCTCAGACCAGGGATCCAGGCCTCTCAGAACCCCAGGCACCACAGGAGTGATCTCTGCCTTCCTAACTGCAGACCCAGATCTGGCTGGGAACGGCCAGGTGAACCTAGGCAAGGGTGAACACCACCTCAATTATTGGTTCAGACGGAGTCAACATCGGTAGCAGCCAAACCCTCTAAAATTAGCAGCACAGGTCTTTTTGTCCTGCACACAAGAGTGGGTTGCATTCAATGTAGATGTGTGGCTTCAACCTCTCCTTGCCACTTAAGTGTCGCAGTTACTGATGCAGTCAGTTGGCCTTTGGCCCCAAAACCTCCACTAGCCCAGTCTAAGGAGGAGACTCTTTTCCCCACTCACCACAGAAACCTGCTTCTTTGTCATAAGCTGATAAGATTTAGACTGAGTAAATTACCAAGTTTCCAGATAGATAACGTTGCCAAAGCTGACTTTTTTCCTTAAAACGTTTAAAAACCCACACTTATACACAGAATATCAATAGAAAATCTCAGTAACTAGGATGATGATGATAATGATGATTTTTTGCTTAAGGTTTACTACTACAAAGATTTTTTTTCCTGATACTTAAATCTTTATGGAAAAATTTATAAAGTTCCATAGATATCAATAGTTCATAAATTCCAAGGGGCTTTTGGATAATTTTTTTTAAGAGTTCAGAAAAATTTCACTTCCCATTTTTTAAAAAAGTGTACACGCATACGTGAGACTAACTGATCATCTCTACTCTCAATCACAGGAAGGACAGGAAGAAAGGCAGGGCCATAAAAGGAGGTGTGGCCAGTCTCTCTTAAAGCAACATGCCAGGCTTAGCTGATTTTAGTCTGAGCCAACACCCGCTGCTGCTACCCTGGGCCCAGGCAAGCCACTGACAGGTAAGGCAACAAATGCTCTTAAGATTAAAAAAAAAAAAAGCAAAAATCTATGTTTTGGATAAAAGGTAAAGGAAAAGAATCTATTAGCTATAAGCATTACTAACAAAAATCATGTTATTAATATAGTTTAGATTGTATGGTTACTAGCAGTTCTAATTAGCTATTATCAAGTGAGGTGAAAGCAATGAATGGGTCATTCCAGAAATATCACTGCCAAAAAACAGGGCTTATTTGGTATGCTTCTGCATGAATTTCAGATGACCAAAAAACAGTATCAAGGGTAAATCTGCAAACAATGTCAATTTTCCAGGATATATGAACATGAAAGGAAAGAAACAAAGTTATTTAAACTGGAGTGTTATTGAATTTTAATGCATTTTACATACAATACAACTAGCCATTCGGCACAATTTAAAGTAAAAATCATTATGTTTTACTATGTGAACACATATCTATGTATATAAGTCTTTTTTATATTTAAAATTTTTCTCAGGACAAAATTCCAGTAGTAGAATTCCTGGAGCAAAAAGTATATTTTCTAAAGCTTTAGATACAAAATAATTATTTTTGATTTACAAAAACATTTTACCAATTTACCAGCAAGGAGTAACAACAGTCTGGGCTCTACTATCCCTCTGTGAGCATGGGCATTTTAGTTCTAAAGATAAACTTTAATTAAAGAGGTGCAAAAAATAACATCTATGTTGTCTGGTATGTATTATTTTATGATCAGTATAAACCTGCTTCATATTTTTTTCCTAGAACTTCTTGCCTTTAAAAAAAAATCACAAAACAATGATATGTAGTGATTTGCCAATATTTATGTCCATGTTGAGAGTGGATGTAAAAAAAAAAACTGGCAAAATATAAATTATGAAGAGACTTCCTTTCAAGAAGGGTGTGGGTTTTTTGTTGTTTTCCTTGTTTTTGGTGGTGGGTTCTGTCTGTCTGGTGTTAATCTGAGCACAATATAGCGTAATGGTTAAGAGCAGTGGCTCTAGGATCAGATCCAAACTTGGGCTCTGTTATTTATAGCCCAAAGCCCGATACAAGTTGCTTAATGTCTCTGGCTTCAGTTGCTTCATTTGTAAAATAGGGAGTAAGATTTCTGCCATATTAGTCTAATACTGTCTCTCATAGTGTGAAAACAATGTCTGCAATTTCCCCCACACCTATTAAACTGCCAAAGGATGAATCCAAAAGGCAAAATTTCCTTGCCCTATTATTTCTGTGAAAATTATTTTCTTGAATTTACATGAAGATTCTATGGAATATTTTGCATAATGATTTTGAGTCTATGGGAGATTATATATCTAACCATGCTTTCTGGAATTTGAGAGCACTTTTTGTTTCTGGGGGTTAATTTTACTTTTTGAACCTAAAACCGCAAGAGTACTGGCCCCATAAAGAGCCTCACTCACATGCTCAGAGGTTATGGGGCTGGCTGTGAAGATGATTCCTTTTAAAAGTCACTTTCAGCAGGCTTCTAAGAGTTTATTAGTACTATTATCTGTCATTCCACAGTATAAATGCCAATTCGGGCAACTACAGGGCTTCGTGCATGTATTTTAGGCATTTACTAGATATCAACTGCTCCTTTGCAGCAGTTATGTATGGGATGAAGATGTGTGGGATTAAGATGTGTGCTATAGTCATCATCCTTAAAATATCTGCATCTAAAAAGGAGCTCGGCCCTAATAAAGGAGTCCATGGGGGGCCTTCTTCTCTGCCAAGGTTAAGGCCTGCTGGAGTGGGTGACTCCAGAGGGTGGAATGTGCTGAGGACAAACACTGTCCTCCAGTCTGCATAGTCCATCAGTTTCCCAAGAAGTCTGTAAAATACTGGGCATCCATACAAAGTGCGATAATGCATGAGAAAACCTCTGCAGACTGAAGAGGTAAGAGAATTTGTGGTATTTTGGAAGCCCAAAAGAAAGAATAACAAGTATTTTGCAAAAACCTTAAAAGCAGGTGTAAAAATAAATTAATAGATACATGCTATGCTGGGTCTTCACCACCTGTTTTCAATTGAAATTTCAGTCCAAATTATTATTAAAATGTTGATTAAAATAGTAAAATCTAAATGCATTTATACAACGTTTACTTTAAAACATATTACAAATTAACAAACTCCTTCATTTAAATCCACCTATCTCCCTCCTTCTCCCAGCCCTTGTCTCTCTGGTTCAGACAGAAATGAGTTGGTATATTACAGTTTTGAGATTCCTTCCTGTTTTACTTGCTTCCCACCCACATCAGAGCATGCTGGAAACAGGAACTAGGGATAAAACATACCAAATGTGATTAATGGAGTCAAAGAGCCTGAGTTTGAACCCTGACACTTAACAGCTTTGTCTTTAGGCAAGTCGTGTAAGTGCTCTGTGCCTCAATTTCACCATCCACAAATGGACTGGTGGAAGTTTTTTGAGCGACTACATGTAGGGTTCCCAGGGCAGTGGCTGGAACAGTCTGTTGAGTAGTATGGACATTATTATCCATCCAGGACTTACTGTTGTCTCAGAGTGGACCTTTCAGTGAGGACCAGGAGGAATAAGATTTGGCTCTTCTTTAGCAAATGAGTATTTGCTGACTGGTTAGCTGGAGGCAGAAGACATCAACATCATGGGATGCTGGACCAGGAAAACCTCAGTCCCCCAGCAAAGACACCACCATGCCTTCCCCGGGGGAATGGGGTAGAATCAGGAAAGCTTCCAGGAACAGCTAGTTTCCACGGCTATGTCAAAGGAAAGTACAAGCTGAGACTGCAGGACAGGGGCAAGAAGAGAAGAGTGCCAGAAGGCACACTGTGGGAGGGAACAGGCGACATCCAAAGACTACAAGTGGCTTGGTATGGCTGTAGCCAGCGCATGTTAAGAGGGAAGGTGGCCAGCCACCCAGAGGAAGAGGGGGCACAGCCCCACCATGAAGGATGCGTAATCACGGTTTCAGTTTGCCTGCAGCAGACAGGCACCATCCGAAGGCTCTTTGAGAGGCTGCTGCACAGCAGCAGAGAGCGAGGAGGACACAGAGAGGCACGCGGACAGACACAGCCACGTGGGGGTAGTGCAGAGGTGAGCACACAGGCCTGCCAACTAAAGGACTCGGAGCCCTGGCCACTTGCATAGACAGGCTGTGAAGAACCCTGAGCAAATGACTGATTTCACCTGAAACTCCATTTATCCATAAAACAAGGAAATTTTGTCCTGCCTAGATTAGTTGAGAGAATAAAGATAAAGCCTGAAACTCCCTTGGACTTTTAGGAGGAAAGGTGCATACTAATTCTAAAAACATTCTGGACTCAGGAGAAAGAGTGTACAGACACAGCCCTTTGCCATCAAGAGCCTTCTGCTGTGTGATCCCACTATCCAGGACCCCACAAGCATGCTGCACACAAACAGAAGGTCTGTTTCTCATGCTGGAATGAGTGTCATGGATAGATTGCTTCTTACAGTTCTCTAAACATCGTCATCTTCATCTTTATAACTTCCATCCTTCCTAGTCAGTATTAACGCCACACAAGAAAAAATTGGTGAAAGATGAAATAAAAACAGTAGGAATATGTAAAACCTTAAGTATGCAAGTGGGTGTCTAACCAAACAACCTGACACTCGGGCACCTTTCACTTCCCATGATGCCAGCGGGCAGGTCTGTGAGCTGAAGCTGGTCTTCAGGGAGTGCCCGCTGGGGCAGGACACTGTGAGAGGCATAAATAAAAAACTGCAGACTGGTGAACACTGTTGCTCTACCTTAAAAAAGTTCTTCGTGTTTTGTCCTGTCAATGACCTTTTGCAACCTACTAAAAGATGGTCTGAACGTCATGGGATCAGAAGCAGAAGAGTCACAGACCTAATAAGGTCTTGGGAAGGCTGCCCATGCCAGCCTGTCAGTTCTTCACACCTCCACAAACCAGAGAAAGGTAGCTCCCCAGGAGGCAGGGGAGGTCACCCCAGACAGACTGACCAGGTCAACTCTGCTCTGAATACAGTCACTCCTGTATCTCTGATTTTTTACAAGGATGCAGGAATGCTGAGAGTATGTTCAATGGATTACAGGCACACCTGTTTGTGGGGAAAAAAATCATCTAATAGTGTACAAAGATTTATTTAACTAGGTTACAGGGCAGGTGCTGACTTACAGCAGTGGCTCGACATCACAGTAGAAGGGACAACCTGACCTGCCCCTCAGTGACAGGTGGCTGCAGCTGTGCCTCAGGTTTCTTCTCCACTGCAAGAATTAATGTTTCCCACCTGCTCATTTTGCAGGCAAATGGCACACCCAGCAGCTCAGGGGTACTTGTTTAGTTGACTAAAAACAAGGCAAGAACAAAGGTGACTGAGTGTTAGGAACCTGTGTGTGGGATACTGGACCAAACAGGGTCCCTGTTTGGACAAGAACAAGAATGTTTTTTCAATTATTTGAGGAGGGCTTATAAAACTAGGTAATCAGAGAAAGAAGTCATGAACGATATCTTTCTTCCACGGGGTGGATGTGTTTGTTTCTAAGAACAGAAGCGGCCTGGCCTCATCTAGCATCCTGGCACATCTTGCTGGTCTTTGTTTCCTCAGTAAGACCACATCTTTGTTACTCCAATAACCTTGAGCCGCCTTCTTCCCTCTCCTTTCCCAATGATGCTATTTCTCCCCACTCTGGAAACATTTCCTCAATCCTACCATTCTTCAGGAAAACAGCCCAAGGACAGTATGTCAACAGAAATCAGAGGAAGATTCAGATCACATAGCATTCATCATTTAACAATAAAACTATAATGAACATCTGTACATGCACATTTTGGTGGTTCCCCTGGTTGTTTCTGAAGCATGTTTTTGGGACTTCATCTTCAGCACTTGGAGCCAGGTCACCTCTCTGTGTGAGGTGGTCTGGATCAGACCCTGACACCTTACAGAAAAGTCATCCTACTTGATGCTAAAGCTGAATTTAGGAAACTTCATTGCTAAAGCTGAATTTAAGGAAACTTCCTAATAGTTTAGCCCTACAAACTTT